GCTAAACCAAATACCACAGCACTGATGAAGGAGGGGTGGATTTCCAGCACGTCAAGACCATAGGCAGATCCATACCCACGCAAGCACATATCCTAAGTGTGCTTCTGTACGTACAGGTGAGGCAGGACAAGTGTCCTCCTGAAGGGCTCTTTTGAGCCTGGGGTCCTGCTGGGGTGCACAGCCTGGCCAGGGCTGCCCTGCCACCACTCCAGCCCAGGACACCCAGCACCACCAGCGGCCCAGAGGATGCCACCAGGCATGGGTGATTGAGGAAGCGCTCAGGGGAGCCAGCTGAGCGAACTGGAGGCCAGTGCCTGTGACAACACAAGTCTTGTGCATGTTGCCACAACTCAGGAGTCACAGGCAGGCCACTGATGGGCAGCCTGTCCCAGCACACCACATATTAGAATCATAGAATCATAGAATGGTCCAGGCCAGAAGGGACCTCCAAAGGTCATCTAGTCCGACCCCCCGCAGTCAGCAGGGACACCCCCAACTCGACCAGGTTGCCCAGGGCCTCGTCGAGCCTCTCCTTGAATATCTCCAGGGAAGGGGCCTCAACCACCTCCCTGGGCAACCTGTTCCAGTGCTCCACCACCCTCACAGTGAAGAACCCTCTCCTGATCTCCAATCTAAATCTGTTCCCCTCCAGCTTAAAGCCATTTCCCCTCGTCCTGTCACTGCAGGCCTTTCTAAACAGGCTCTCCCCAGCCTTCCTGTAGCCCCCTTCAGGTACTGGAAGGCTGCTATTAGGTCTCCCCGGAGCCTCCTCTTCTCCAGGCTGAACAACCCCAGCTCCCTCAGCCTGTCCTCGTAGCAGAGGTGCTCCATCCCCCTGATCATCCTTGTGGCCCTCCTCTGGACCCTCTCCATCAGGTCCATGTCCTTCTTATATTGAGGGCTCCAGACCTGCACACAATACTCCAGGGGAGGTCTCACCAGAGCAGAGTAAAGCAGAAGAATCACCTCTCTGGACCTGCTGGCAACGCATCTTTTGATGCAGCCCAGGATGCGATTGGCCTTCCGGGCTGCAAGTGCACACTGCCTGCTCATGTCCAGCTTCTCATCCACCAGCACCCCCAAGTCCCTTTCCTCAGGGATGCTTCCTTAAAAGTGTTGAGGACCCAGGCCTGCACTTCTAGTCTTTGCAATGCCGTCATTTAACTCACACCTTTATTTTTTGTGTTTCCCCCAATTCTGGTCTCAGAAACCTTTCCCCTTTTCCTCCTCTCTGGCCTTTTTCTCCTTCCCCTTCTGCACGGCTCTGGCCCAGTGGGTTGATCCTCACCCTCTGCCCGCTTCCACGGCGCTCGGTCTCCCTGCTCTGCTCCCGGGCCATCCACCCACCCCTGCCTCTGCCGTGCAGTCCTCCCCTTGTGCTGTTTGCCAACATCTCCATCTCCCGGACACAGCTCACATGGCACGTAACTAAATTTTTTTTTTTTCTTTTCCCTGCCTACAAAGCTTATCGACATCTTCTGGTTGATCCGTGGGCTTCAAGGGAACTTCAGGCTGTGAACTGGGGGCTTTCGGACAGGAGGGAGGACCTGTAGATTAAACTTTTAAGGGCTCTCCACAAGGCGGCTGAAATAGCAGGGCCAGCATTTCTCTTTAACAGGCTTTTGCTTGACATGCAGAGGCCCCTCACGGGCATGGAGAACAATTTGCAAATCTGCAAATTAAAAAAAAAAAAACAAAACACAACTTTGATTTCTGATCAGTGAAATTCTGAAATTTTCATTTCCTGCAGCCATCCTCCTCTGAGCTCCCAGCCCTCCATCTCTTCCCAGTTAAAGTCTACCCATGCTACACAAGAGGCTAGGAGAAGCAAAGCTGAAATAGGCAAGGCCACTAGATACAATCCCTCTTATTCTCACCTCTCCACTCTCCTCTCTCAGAGACACTTGATCTGAATCCCTTTCCCTGTGCCGTTCCTCCCCCACGCCACCTCCCTCACATCAATTTCTGACTTCTTTGTCCTGCCTCAGTGCTGAACTAAGGTCCAAAATCAGATTTCGGGATGTCCCGCAAGCAGGGAGTTTGCCGTATGGATGGAAAAAAGCTGCCAGCTCACATATGAACATTTCCAACCCTCTGCCTCAATTTTCCCATTAGTTTCAACTGGACATTTTAGTCTGCTGTGGTCTTCTGTAGCACCTCCGTGACCTGTTAACACACTTTGTGTGTCATCCAGGACGTCACTCCACTTTACCTGTATGTGAACCAATCCCTGGTACACTGGAGGTGGGGTGAAACCAGCTGGGTGTCAGGCACTTCACCGAGGATAAGTATCAAACCTCACCAACATGGAGGACTTCCCAGCTTCGTGAGTGTTACCGGAAAATCTTGAGTGACCTAATGCATGCATGAAGGAACTACCATGTAAAGGCTCTGGAAAAAAGATCAGGCTTAGGTAGAAACATGGTGATGTTGATGCCTTGTGCAAAAAGTGTGGGCATCAAGGGAAGGAGGCTGATTGTAAACACTGCCATAGGCAGCAGCACCAAGAACTGGTTATTCAAAGCAGAGAAAGTGCTCAGGCAACTTACAAGGCACGTATGTTAAGGTTTCTGGTCCATCCACCAGGCTGCTGGGGGTGGACTCCATTGCAGTTGATAGGCCTGAAAAAAAAATTCTGATCCCAACAACTTATGTAATTCAAAATGCCTCTTGGAAACTAGGATCACACCAGACTGCTGAATTGCGACGAGAAAAGAAAAGAAAAAGAAGAGCTACCCAGTGAAGCATGCGCAGCGATGGTTCTGAGAAAAATTAAGACAATATATTTTTCATGGAAGCACAATTCCACAACTCACCTCTTCTAATGGAAACAAGTTGCAAGACTCTATATATTGGACAGATATTCTTCAGATGAAAAACGGTAACATAATACAGTGGAGCCAATTCCTGCTACCTGTTCCACCCAATTCCTGCCAGCAGTGAGCGTCTTTTGAAAATGAGAGTTACTGGTATATACCATCTCATTAGTGAGAGCACCTGCAGTATAATTCTGATACTGGAAGGCAGGATGCAGCCCCATTTTCAGGGCACTGGGAACTCTTAAACTCGCTATGGCGATGTTGGAAAATACAAGGTGTTCTGAACTTGGTGTAAAATCTTTGTATATTTGTGATCCGGTACTGCATTCTATAATAATGGGAGAGGGGTTATTGTTTAAAGCTACTGAAGCGGCATACCGAGGACGCTTGAAAAGTCAAGAAGAATAGGGAGGAGATAGGCATCTAAAACGGGCCTGGAAACCTACCAGAGGGACGAAAGGTAAAAAGTACACGGCGAGGAAGACGTCTTACTTCATCAGAAACGACCACCGAAGACCACTAGAAGGGACTGGAATGTCGCCAGAATGACGCAATCTATGAAGCAATCCCTAATGAATATGTAATAAGAGGTGATGGGGTGACTATTGAATATGTATGAAATTGTATAATCGTGAGGGTATAAATTGTAAGTTGACACGGTCGTCGGCGAACCAGATTTGGGTGACTACCCCTGGTTCCCGGGCCCGCGAAATAAAGCACCGCATATAACTACCTTCCAGTGGTTATGTGTTTGTCACCGACAGTTTTGGCGACCCAGATGGGACCTCGCGGGCATTGCCGAGGCGGATCGCGACCTGATCCTGCTCCAGCCGGCACCGAGGATTTCTCGGGGAGCCATCAGCCGCATCCGACCTCCGCTGCTCCCGACGGACCTCTGATAAGGTAAGACAAGGTGCTTTATTCTGGTAAAGGTAATTGGTACCAAAGCGGGGTAAAAGCCTGCCAGTCAGACGCGGTGAAAGCTGCGCTTGGTTGGGCTAAGGAGCTCCAGGTGGTAAGCCGCGGCGCCGTCCGTCAGACAGGGCGAAAGCCCTGCAGGTTCGGCAGTGGGTAAACGGGAAACGGTAATGGTAAAAAAAGGTAAACAGGTAAAAAGGTAAACCGGTAAAAAAAAAAGGTAAATGGTTTAGGGGGCCTAGGAAATAAAACTATAACAATTGTGGGAGCCACAGGGAAAGAGGAACGCCGGCCATTCCTACAACCCCTGGATTTAAGGTTTAGGGGAAAAGAATTAACTCATGAGTACCTGTATGTACCTGAATGCCCGGTTCCGCTTTTAGGGCGGGACCTTTTGGCAAAGCTAGACGCCAAGATCATGTTTGAAAATGGGGAACTAGTAATGCAAATACCAGAATCTAAAATCGGTCAAATTCTAGTCTTAAAGGATCAGCCGAAATCCCGAATACCCCAAGAAGTAGAAGAAGCAGTAATGCCGAAAGTATGGGAAACCGACATTCCCGGAAAAGCAGAAACAGCCCGACCGGTAAGCGTAGAATTAAAGGAAGGAGCGCAACCGGTCCAAATTAGGCAATATCCCCTGAAATTGGAGGCTAGATGGGGAGTAGTGAAAATTATCGACAAATTTTTAAAGCATAAGATTCTGGAACAATCTGAGTCTGAATATAATACACTGATTTTTCCAGTAAAGAAGCCCAATGGAGAATATAGGTTAGTACAAGATATGAGAGCTATTAATGAAATTACAAAGGACATACACCCTGTGGTAGAGAACCCATATACCTTGTTAACTTCTGTGAAGGAGAAATACAAATGGTTTACAGTTATTGACCTAAAAGATGCCTTTTTCTGTATCCCACTTGACAAAAGTAGTAGGAAACTGTTCGCCTTTGAATGGGAAAATCCACAGAATGGACGAAAAACACAACTGACTTGGACTCATCTTCCGCAAGGATTTAAGAACAGCCCGACTCTGTTTGGAAACCAGTTAGCAAAGGATTTGGAGAAATGGACTATACAAGGAGATATTCAGGTACCGAGATCACAATACTTACTATTACAATATGTTGATGATATCTTTGTCGCTACAGAAGAACGACCACTGTGCATTCAGGTCACGATTGCTCTTTTGAACCAATTAGGACAGAACGGATATAAGGTTTCTAAAGAAAAGGCCCAGATAGCTTGTGAAACAGTGCTGTATTTATATTGCTACTTGTAGTTCTGGGAATTTATCTTACCTTCAGTTATCCTAAAAGGCAACTGAGTCGCGATAAAGTATGGACTCATCGTTTGGTCCAAGCAGTAACAAGAGAACACTCTGAATGTCCAGGAAATATAATGCCCCCACCGTCGTATAAAGAAACGGCATAAATGAAAATACTTGCAATATAAAGTGAAGTATTTTCAAAGGGGGGGAATGTTGGAAAATACGAGGTGTTCTGAACTTGGTGTAAAATCTTTGTATATTTGTGATCTGGTACTGCATTCTATAATAATGGGAGAGGGGTATAGTTTAAAGCTACTGAAGCGGCATACCGAGGACGCCTGAAAAGTCAAGAAGAATAAGGAGAAGATAGGCATCTAAAACGGGCCTGGAAACCTACCAGAGGGACGAAAGGTAAAAAGTACACGGCGAGGAAGACGTCTTACTTCATCAGAAACGACCACCGAAGACCACTAGAAGGGACTGGAATGTCGCCAGAATGACGCAATCTATGAAGCAATCCCTAATGAATATGTAATAAGAGGTGATGGGGTGACTATTGAATATGTATGAAATTGTATAATCGTGAGGGTATAAATTGTAAGTTGACATGGCCGTCGGCGAACCAGATTTGGGTGACTACCCCTGGTTCCCGGGCCCGCGAAACAAAGCACCGCATATAACTACCTTCCAGTGGTTATGTGTTTGTCACCGACAGCGAGACCCCACCTGGAGTCCTGCATCCAGCCCTGGGACCCCCAACGAACGAAGGCCATAGACGCTTTCGATTGAGTCCTGAGGGCCATGAAGATGCTCAGAGGGCTGGAGCACCTTTCCCATGGAGACAGGCTGAGAGAGTTGGGGTTGTTCAGCTTGGAGACGGCTCAGAGGAGAACATATTCCAACCTTCCAGTACCTGAAGGGTGCCTACAGGAGCTCTTTCCCAATGACTGCAGTAGAGGACAAGGGTTAAGTTTTAAAACTGCAAAAGGGTAGATTTATATTAGGAAGGAATTCTTTACTGTGAGGGTGGTGAGGCACTGGAACAGGCTGCCCACAGAAGCTGTGGATGCCCCATCTGTGGAGTGTTTAAGGCCTCTGGAGTGGATGGAGCTTTGAGCAACCTGGTGTAGCGGGAGGTGTCCCTGCCTATGGCAGGGGGCTTGGAACTCGACAATCTTTAAGGTCCCTTCCAACCTAAACCATTCTATGATCCTATTACCACTTTTAACGCCCAGTTTCACTTGCCACCCGCTCGCCTGTACCCAGGCTCCCCAGAGCCACGCCACCAGCCTCACAGCGACACGTACCAGCAGCCGCCGCTCACTTAACTGGGGATGGGGGGGGGACGGTTCTCTACGAAACAACACCGTGCCAAACCACAATGTCTCTGTTCCCACCGCACACCCAGGCAGGCACAACGCAGGGCCCACAGCAAACACCCGCCCCCCC